GTACGCCCTTCCCAATTTTGAACATGCAGTGTTCCCTTGCTCTGTTCTGATGACTGCCTCCTGGTCCAAGTATAAGTTTCACATTAGAACGATCAAGTGTTCTGGGATTCCCATTCTTCTCAGAGTAAAAAAAAAATAAAAAAATCGATTTTTCTCCAATTTCTTTGAGCTACTTTCTGTCATTCTAACTGAAAAGGTTTGTGTCTGTCAGAGATGCTGACTTTATAAATTTCTAACAAGAACCTTGTTTGCAATTAACGTATCTAAATATTGCAAACAGGTTCTTGTTAGAAATTTATAAAGTCAGCATCTCTGACAGACACAAACCTTTTCAGTTAGAATGACAGAAAGTAGCTCAATGAAATTGGAGAAAAATTGATTTTTCTTTTTTTCCCAAAGCCAAACAACTATAATCAGTTTTCCACTGAGAAGACAGACAAGCAATCTCCTCCTGCAGAAAGTACTCAGGGTGATGAGTTTAACTGCCAATGTTAGCTGGGTCTTGGCTAAAAGCAGAGGATGTCTATTCATGCTTCATTGACTAACCAAAGGCATTTGATTGTGTGGATCATAACAAACTGTGGATAACCTTAAGAATGGGAATCCTAGAACACTTGCTTGTTCTCATGCAAAATCTGTACTTATACCTAGACCAGGAATCTGTTCTCCAAACAAAGCAAGGGAACACTACATGGCTCAAGATCAAGAAAGGAGTTCATAGGGGATATATCCTTTCTCCATTCCTCTTCAATTTATATGTGGAACAGATCATTTGGGGTCTGGACTTCATTATGAATATAGCCTCAGAATTGGAGGAGGACTCATCAGCAACCTGTATTATGCAGATGATACAATCTTGCTCACCAAAAAGCAGTAAGACTTGAAACATTTGCGGCAGGTCAAGGACTGCAGTCTTCAATATGGATTGCATCCCAACATTGAGAAAACAAAGATACTCACCATGGGGCCAAATGGCAGCATCATGATAGATGGAGAAGATTGAGGTTGTTAACAATTTCATCTTGTTCACATTCATAACCTTGGCCAGCAGTTAGAAAATCAAAAAACGAGTTGCTTTGGGAAAATCTGCTGTAAGGAACCTCTCCAGAGTGATAAAGGGAAACAATGTCATTCTAGAGACTAAGGTGCATCTGATCCAGGCCATGGTCTTCTCAACTGTTTGCTATACATATTTGAGCTGGACAATGATGAAGGATGACAGAAGAATCGATGCCTTTTGAGTTGTGGTGCTAGAAAAGAGTACTGAACATACCATGGACTACCAAGAGAAGAAAACAGGACGGGGTAAAACCAGGTCGGTTGCTCTTTCGAGGCAAGGATTTTGAAATTCTATCTCACATACTTTGGGCATACTGCCAGGAGGGACCAGTCATTGGAAAAGGGCATCATTTGTGGATGGATGGAGGGTCAGTGCAGGAAAGGAAGATCCTCGATGATATAAGAGTGACACAGTGACTGTGGCAATGTGTCAGAGACGGTAAGACTGCCTCTGGTTTTAGTGAAGGACCTCTTCATACTAAATCTGTACCAGGTCACATACCAACCCACCTTGTAAGGCCAAAGGAATAGCTTCAATCTGGATTTTGGTTGGTTTCTTCCATCCCAGTTGGTCACAGGCTTCACACAACACATCTGTCACACCCTTAAAATTAAAAAAGTTTTTAAAAAGCCACTTTAGCAAAGAATAACATATGTCCCATTTCACCTACTTAAATGACAGATAGTCATTCTACTGGTTGAACATCTCTGATTCAAAGGTTTGTTTGTTCTTTTTTTAATTTTATACCGATTTATTTACAAAGTTTGAATGCACTGTTTTCCAACAAAGATCCTTCCCATTTCTCAAAGGTATTTTTATTACACACCTACTAGAAGCCTGCTCTTTACCTGTGAGTACTCCATGGCAGCGAATCAACATTTAGCAAATATTTTATCACTTGGGACAAAGCCAAGAACTCTTAATGTATTATTTCACTTACTCTGCACCATAATTCCGTAGGTTAAGTATAAGTTATCATCCTCAATTTGCATCTGTGGAAACTGATACACAAGAGTAGTATCCCTCTTGTTCGTTCAAATATTTGATTCCAAAGCCCAACCAAAAGATTCGTTTGGCATTTATTATTAAGTCTCCAAGGGAAATACAAACGTCACCACACCAAAGAGGGGAAAGGGAACTCTCAAAGTCCAACAGCTCTCCCACCACCCTAAAATCAACAGATTGAGCATCCCAAACCGAGTTTCTGAAATCGTAACGCCGCAGAGTGCTTTTCTAAGGATCTAAGGCAACTAGGCTTTGACTCATTGGCACAAAGAGAACTCAGAGTTATCCAGCCTCACCAAGTCCTTAAATGTTTTCGTTTCCTCCTCCTCCACTGCCGGCTGGGGTGTTGGAGCCGGAGAATCGTGCTCCTCGGACGCCGCCATCTCCCTTACTGATTCCGGAAGTGATTGTGGGCGTGCGGAATGCTGGGAAGTGTAGTTTTCATTCTCCCCGGATGTTCCATGCGCCCCCTACTGGGGGTATTCTGGGTTTACGGCTACTAGCCATTTAAGTGTGCTAATGCGAAACCTATATTTGGACCAGGAGGCAGTAGTCAGAGCAGAGCAGGGTAACACTGCATGGTTCAAAATTGGGAAGGGTGTACGCCAGGGATGCATCCTGTCTCCATACCTTTTCAACATGTATGCAGAGCAGATTATCCGAGAGGCTGGGCTCTATGAGGAGAATTGTGGCATCAGGATTGGTGGAAGATCTATTAATCTGCGTTATGCAGATGACACAACCCTGCTTGCTGAAACTGAGGAGGACCTCATGCACTTGCTGCGGAGGGTCAAGGACTGCAGCCTTCAGTGTGGACTGAGGCTCAATGTCAAGAAGACAAAGATTCTCACCACTGGACCAATTGGTAGCATCAGGATGGATGGCGAAGAGAGATTGTTCACAGCTTCAAAGTTTGCTCGGCTCCACAGTCAACACTCTTGGCACCAGCAGTCAGGAAATCAAAAAGCGTATCGTGATGGGAAAGTCTGCTGTTAGGGACCTCTCTAAAGTATTCAGGAGCAACGGTGTCTCTCTGGAGACTAAGGTGCGCCTGATACAGGCCATGGTCTTTGCAATCGCTTGTTAATGCATCAGAGAGTTGGACAATGACTAGGGAGGACAGAAGGAGAGTTGATGCCTTTGAGCTGTGGTGCTGGAGAAGAGTACTGAATGTACCTGGACTGCCAGGAAAACAAACAGATTCATCTTGGAGAGGATTAAATCAAGCTACTCCTTGGAGGCAAGGATTCTGGGGCTTCGTCTGACGTACTTTGGACATGTTGCCAGGAGGGACGGGTCCTTGGAGAGGGACATCATGCTTGGGAGGGTTGAGGGACAGCGCAGGAGGGGAAGACCCTCTATGAGATGGATTGATTCGGTGACTGGGGTAATCGGGATAGGTGTGTCAGAGGCGGTGCGGTTGGCGCAGGATAGAGCAGGGTTTAGGGCTGTTGTTGCATAGGGTCGCTATGAGTCGCAAACGACTCGACGGCACATAACAACAAACAACAAGCCATTTGGGAAGGTCTTGGGGGAAGTGTTGTCTTGCTCTTGTTGCTAGATGCCTTCAAGTCACCTATGAATCATAGCGATCCTATGAACAATAGATCTGAACCCTGTTCTGTTCTGTGCCATCCTCATCATCTCCAGCATACTTGAGCCCATTGCTGCAGTCACTGTGTCAATCCATCTTACTGAGTCTTCTCATTCAGACCTTACACCTTTCTAAACATGATATCCCTTTCCAAGAAATGGCCCCTCCCAGTAATATGCCTAAAGTATGTGAACATGAAGCTTCACCATCCTCGCCTCAAAGGAGCACTCTGGCTGCACTTTCTCCAAAACATATCTGTCTGTTCTTTAGGCAATTGATGGGACACTCAGCACTCTGCTCCAATACCTCACTCAAACGCATCAATCAGTCACCTGTTATTCTTATTCCATGTACAGCTCTCATACACATAGCAAATGATGGGAAAGAACATGGTCTCAACCAGGCACACCTAAGTCTTTAAACTGATATCATTGCTACTTAAAAGTTTGAAAAGGACCTTGAAAACCAACTTTCCCAAAGCAATACATCTTTTTTGAGTACACTAAGTACTGTCAAAAGAACAAGCAAGTCTATCTTCAAGTAAGTGCAACTATATGCTTGTTGGAGACAAGGATGGTGAAACTTCATTTCATATATTTTGGGAATGTTATCAAGAGGTACCAGTCTTGGAAAAATACATCATGGTAAGAAAGGTCAAGGATCAAGGAAAGACCCTCCATGAGGTAAATTAACTCATTGACTGCAACAGTGGACTTGAACATAGCAGATATAGTAAAGATTACACAGAATAGGGTAAATTTTGATTGGTTGTTCATAGGGTCATTGAGTGTCAATCAATTCAACAGCACCTAGCAGCAGCTCCATTAATATGACTTCATTACAGAACAAAGAAAACCATAGCCAAATGGGGTCATAACCACAGGAAGTAAGTAGGATTTACAGTGAATATTCTGAGAAACAAAATTAAATTCATAACAGTGTCTGACACAATTGTTGTCATGTGCCATCGAGTTGACTGCAACTCTTAGTGACCTTATGAACAACAGCTCAGAACCCTGCCCTATCCTGAGTCAGTCTCACTATTTCTGTCACACCCCATTCGCATTACCCAGTTACTGTGTCAATTCATCCCATCCAGGGTCTTTCTAGCTTGCATTGACTCTCCACTCTTCCAAGCATGATGTCCTCCTCTAAAGGCTGGTTCTTTCTAGCAAGATGCCCAAAGTATGTGAAACGGAGCTTAAAAATCCTTGCCCCCACACAGCAACTTGTTTTCACCCTCTCCTTCACCCTTTCTAGGATAGATGTTTGTTCTCTTTGTAGTCCATGGTATGTTAGCCTCACTAATGCCTAGAATATCGATTTTCATACCTTCCTTTTTTTTACAACCATTGGTTTTCCTATATTCATACCTCATATATTCTACTCCAGTTATTAATTTTATATCCACTTGAAGACTATGGGGCACCTGATTCAGGTCATGATCTTTTCAATCATTTGTTATGCTGTTGAAAGCTAGACAATAAATAAGAATGACAGAAGAAGAATTGATGCCTTTGAGAGATGTGGTGATGAAGAAAGATCCTGAATACCCCATGGACTGTCAGAGAACAAACATACATGTCTTGGAAACAGTGCAACCAGACTGCTCGACTGTAGAGGCAAAGATAGCAAAGCTTCATCTCTCATACTAGGAGAGGTTATTCGTTGGAAAGGACATCCTGCTTGGAAAGATAGAGGGTCATCTAAAGAGAGAAAGACCCCCAACGAGATGGATATAGACACAGTGACTACAGCAAAGAACTCAGCTGTGTCAGAGATGACGAGGATGGCACAGGATAGGACAGGCTTCCAGTTTATAGGGTCAGTATAAGTCATACTCAACTCAATGGCACCTAACAACAATAACAATAAATGATACAAGAGTTGATTGCCTATCTTTCTTCCAAGGAGCAGCTGGCGGATTCAAACTACTTGCATTCAGGTTCAAAACACAGCTCCTTACCTCTAGACCACCAGTGCTGAGTGGGCTCTGTCTTACAGGGTTTTATATTCTATCCTATAGTGTTACTGAATCAGAATGGTTCAGTTGCTTATAATGAAGGTATTAAAACTTGGAAAAACATTGGGATCATTAATATACATATTTTTTCCTGGGAGTAATCAAGTTGATTCCAACGCCTGGCTCTTTGTGTGTATCAGAGTAGAGCTGTGTTCTAAAGGCTTTGTTTGTTTTTTAAATAGATTTTTATTTTGTACTAGTTTGCTTATAAAGTTTGTATACATTGTTTTTCACATAAATTTTCATTCCCATTGTGTTTCATATAATCACTCTCATTCATTATATTTTATAAAATTAATTAACACCAAATAAGCCTACTATTGCTGTGTCTTTCCAGATCCCTACCGGATCTTTCCCATTTCATTTATTCACCTCTCCTAGAGGTATTTTTAAAGCTCAGGTTTTTTTGGAATTAGATTGTCAGACCTTTCTCCTGAGGGTTTCTGTGTGGATTTCAGCTTCCAATCTTTGAAATAGAAATCTATCTTCTCTGTTTTCCCAGGCCATTCCAGATTCACCCCAAAATGGAATAATATACTTTGGGAACAGGAGAAGCTGCTTTATCTCAAATAAAATATGCCAAATTTTCTCTGGTCCTTTTCCTTTTTGTCATCTGTCACATAGATCTGTTTGATCAACAGTGAACACAAGTTCCAGGACAAACAGAAATGTCCAAGGTCACACAGTCAATGGTAAGAGAAAAAATGAAAACCCAAGAACTCATAGCAACCCTGTGGAAAAGGAGACCAGCTGGGAACAGTTGGAAGAACTAGAAAATTTTATACAATATAGGTGCAAAAGTTAACCACATTGTGTTAAAATGTGTTACTGATAAAAAGGATTTTCTTTTTTTGAGGTAATAAGGGAAGAAATAGTTTAATTCCAAAGAAATTAAGTGGCTGTCTCTGCCTTCAAAGAAAACTTATTTTGGAAAACTTATTTGAACCACTCATCTGCTGTTATAATGGGAAACTGTCCCTTTTAGCCGAAGGAAAAATCATTTTTGTCTGTTCTTGGATAATTCAGACATTGGCTAGTTTTAAAACTTCCTCTGGTTCTGTTGACAGCACCCCCCTCCCCCAACCCCAGGGCATCAGTGTTCACAGAGAGAATGTGTTGTCTCATCAATTTTGCTCCCTTCTGTGGCCTGGGGCTTCCAGAGAGGTTTAAACCTTCACCTCAGTGTCAGGTTCACAACAGACCAATAGGGGACTACATTTTCTATTTTCTATTGCAAATAGAAAAGTCTATATTACCCAAGAAAAAGGTTTGGTTTTGATTTTTCCCACCCCATTGAAAGTACTTTGGAAATTTACACCATGGTAGTGGAAATAAATACTGAAGGTCCATTCTAGTAACTGATTCATGTCATATCCTGTACTTTTCAGAACAATGAGAAAAGTTAAAGAGGAAATCCAAATTAACATTCAGAATGATGAGAATCTGAAACAATACCCCAGCTCCAGAAGGAAGGGGTCTAAGTAACTGATCCTGTCATACTCTGAAAGACTTTCATTAGCCCTGATCACTGTGTGGGCCACTTCTAGCATAAATGAATATTAAACTAAAAAAATTAGGACTGCATTAATATAGATAAAATATTTCACATTAAAACATTTTCTTCGACTTAAAGTTAATTACTTATCTTTTTTACTTAAAACTTATTTGTGTGTGTGTGTGTGTGTGTGCCTCTAAAATTATTACAAGCCCTCTCCGGGTTCCTGTGAAGCTGAACACTGTGACACTGATGAGTCAAATGTGAGAATGGTGGACAGTGTTTTGTGGAGCTCCCGATTAAAAGAAGACTGGAAGCAGGAGTAGCATCCACTTCCATAATAGCTTGCCTCCAGAAACCCTATG